CTCATGTCCCATTTGGAAAGAAAAAAGTGTTTAATTTTGATTTTTTAATTTATATAGGTATTTATTGGCTAAATTATGCTAAATATAGTAATAAATATGGTACCAGATATTTTCAAAGTGTAATATAATCAAAACTAGACGGTAAAAGTATTTCATATTTTACAAGATCAACCAATATACTTTTTTAAAAATTTAGGGAAACTTTGAAAACAGGCACTCATTTGGGTAAATTTTAAGAATTTTTTAAGTAGGCTCCCTAAGTAGAAAAATGGCCAGACACGTGGTAAAAATGGGTGGGGTAGGGTAACATTTTTATACAGATTTCATAAATTTTAAGTAGAGACCATAATTTTGCTTATTTGGATTGTTAGCTGAATGGTACTATTTGTTTCTTACCAAAAATTAATGGGAAAACATTTTTCATTAGAATGTTATTGCAGATTATTTAAAGGTTCCTACTTTCTAAAAAAGGGCCCTCATAACAACCTAGCTAGAGTTCAGAAATGTGGCCATAACTTGATTTCCGTACGGTAAACTTTGTTTAAATTTTGCATACAGGTGTACTTTAAGGTATACATCTGACTTATGATGTCAATTTTTTAGTTCCTGATAGTGCCTATTAGGGTCCTTAGATAAATACCTTAAAGAATAATAAACGAAAAAGAAAACTTCTCAATATGCCTAAAGTACACTTAAAACAGTTTAGTCATTGTTACTCTTGCTTTATCTTGTTTTTAGCTCACCTGTCACAAAGTGACAGGGTGAGCTTTTGTGATCGCTTTTCGTCCGGCGTCCGTCCGGCGTCCGTCCGTCGTCCGTAAACTTTTACTTTAAATGACATCTCCTCATAAACCACTAAGCCAATTTCATCCAAACTTCACAGGAATGTTCCTTTGGTGGTCACCTTTAAAAATTGTTCAAAGAATTTAATTCCATGCAGAACTCTGGTTGCAATGGCAACCGAAAGAAAAAACTTTAAATATCTTCTTTTAAAAAAACATAAGAGCTAGAGCTTAGATATTTGGCATGAAACATCTTCTAGTGAGTGTCTACCAAGTTTGTTCAAATAAAAGCCCTGGGGTCAAAATTTGTGAGTGTCTACCAAGTTTGTTCAAATAAAAGCCCTGGGGTCAAAATTGGCCCCGCCCCAGGGGGTCATTGATTTTCCCTATATGCATATAGTAAAAACTTAAAAAATCTTCTTTTAAAGAACCCAAAGAGCTAGAGCTAAGATATTTAGCATGAAACATGTTCTAATGGGTGTCTACCAAGTTTGTTCAAATAAAAGCCCTGGGGTCAAAATTGGCCCCACCCGGGGGGGGTCATTGATTTTCCCTATATGCATATAGTAAAAACTTAAAAAATCTTCTTTTAAAGAACTCAAAGAGCTATGGCTAAGAAATTGAGCATCAAACATGTTCTAATGGGTGTCTACCAAGTTTGTTCAAATAAAAGCCCTTGGGTCAAAATTGGCCCCGCCCCAGGGGGTCATTAACTTTCCCTATATGCATATAGTAAAAAACTTAAAAAATCTTCTTTTAAAGAACCAAAAGAGTTAGAGCTAAGATATTTAGCATGAAACATGTTCTAATAAGTGTCTACCAAGTTTGTTCAAATAAAAGCCCTGGGGTCAAAATTGGCCCCGCCCCCGGGGGTCATTGATTTTCCCTATATGCATATAGTAAAAACTTAAAAAATCTTCTTTTAAAGAACCAAAAGAGTTAGAGCTAAGATATTTAGCATGAAACATGTTCTAATAAGTGTCTACCAAGTTTGTTCAAATAAAAGCCCTGGGGTCAAAATTGGCCCGACCCCGGGGTCATTGATTTTCTTTATAATTATGTGTATAGCAAAAACTTAAAATCTTCTTTGAAAAAACCCAAATAGCTAGAGTTTAGATATTAAGCATGAAACATCTTCTAGTAAGTGTCTAGAAAGTTTGTTCAAATAAAAGCCCTGGGGTCAAAACTGGCCCGGCCCCAGGGGTGTCATTGTTTTTAACTATATGTTTATAGTAAAAACTTAAAAAAAATCTTCTTTTAAAAAACACAATGAGCTAAAGCTTATATGTTTAGCATTAAACATCTTCTTATGGATGTGCAAATAAAAGCCCTTGGGTTAAATTTGCCCTGCAACGTTGGGGGGGGGGTTGGGGGGACCAAATATACAGGTGAGCGACCTCAGGGCCATCATGGCCCTCTTGTTGATTAAATTGACAATTTCAGATCATCACAGTATTTTTGTTCGGTGTAATAGATAAATAACACATGGTAACAGTATTTTCCTTGGGATGATGTTTTTACTGTTACCCACAATCCCATGTGTTATTTATATAATGTCATATCATCTGTTATGATGTCATGTTGTATGAATTATGATGTCATATCATTTGTTATGATATCATGGTGTACAGATTATGATGTCATATCATCTATTATGATGTCATGGTGTACAGATTATGATGTCATATCATCAATTATGATATCATGATGTATGAATTATGATGTCATATCATCAATTATGATGTCATGGTGTACAGATTATGATGTCATATCATCTATTGTGATGTCATTACATATCTTGTGATGTCATAACATGATCATTATGATACTATACCTCAGGGCTTCCATTAATGGAAGTTTGGGAGTCATTTACTCCTTGATTTTATGCTTTTCCTTCTTTACATATATAATGTGACTTCCAATATCAGAGATTTTGATGTCTCTGACTTCCAAATTTTGAAACTTAATGGAAGCCCTGATACCTATTGTGATGTCATAGCACATTGCTTTTGTTGTCATATTATCTATTATAGCATAAAATCGGCTATTTTTCCCTCTTTTGCCCATGTTATAATGGGACCAAAACCATGTGTTAACATTGTAATGGCTCTTGTTATAGCCCAGTTTTACCTATGCGCAATACATACAGGGTCAAGTAAACAAACACAAAAATGACGATTTGGCCTGTTTGCCAAAGTGTTATATTGAAATTATTGATGTGAGGGCCTCAATCGCATAACGGCGAGTAACATTCAAGTAACTATGTCGGAAATACGGCAAATAGACATCGCCGCTAATCTTCCCGGGTGTAGATTTTCCGAGGTTTATGAAAAAAACCATGGAAACTGCTTCAAAAACCTTGGAAATAAACCAGTTTTACAAGGTTTTTTCTTAATTCCGAGGTTTTTTTTAAAACCTTGGAAACTTTATCCAAGGTTTTTGTATAAAAATCCTTGGAAATAAAGAAAACCTTGGAAACTATCTCAGAATTAAACACTCTGCCAAAAATCAGCTCGGAAAAAGCTTGGAAATAAGAACTTTGTCATTTTTTTGCTCGGAAAAGAACTTAGAAAATTTATGTAAAATTTGTTGGAAACACTTTGCCAATATTTAACTTGGAAATGACCTCGGATAATTGAACTTAACTAAATTTCATCTCGGAAAATGTTAAGACATAATCATGATTTAACTTATAATGGGCATCAAAAGCAAGATAACAACTGAACTGTAGATTGCCATTGGATATTTCTTAATCCATGGTCAGAGCAAACAATTGTCCAACAGCATGGAAAGGAGAGATTTGGTCCAGGGAATCAATTTTTAGTATGGACATTGTCAATGGCCAACTTCCTTTTCAGTAAATTTGTACTTTAATCTTCTGAAGCCATTTTTGTGGGAGGAATCAATTAAAAAAATTTAAGTGTGAAAACATGGAAAAGTTAAATACAATGTAAATTCCTTGTGGCCATAAAATACCTTTTATTAATGGCTATAAAGGTATTGTAACTAATCATAATAAGATAAAGATTATTCAAATAACTGATGATCAGAAAGACTTGAAAATTTTATATTTTTTTTATTTTCATATTTTTTTATTATTATTATAATTATTGTTACTAGATATCTTCTCCATTTTTAAGAATAGATAAAAGAGCAAAACTTATAATTATACAAAAAGAAACAATCAGTGTTTATGTCTATTAGTTTCTAAATGCATCAGTATTTTTCCTGCAGTTTCTTTCTATATATAGACTTAACTTAGGGTTTCTTGACAGCCTGTAAGCAACACTGAAATATGAATGCTATTAAATAAATCTTTAATATATGTTTTTATGCCATATAAAATAGTATATTCTACTAAGCAAGTCTGTGACATACATTCAGATAACAATTTACTCTGCCATTAATTATGTGTACAATAAACATAAATAGTTATTAACTGTCCTTTTAATATATAATTATGTACAATTAATGTGTAAAATATGTATGCTTGATACTTTCTTATAATTAAGATAAATAAATACTGCATCCACTAAGTTTTCACACACAGAATATAACACACTGATCAGATAAAACTAATGGCACCCCAGGTGGTTCCCTCTTATAATCTATGCATGATCAATCTTCTCATTGAGCATTCTGGGATAGACCAGATTGTTCCATGTGATTATTCAGGGGGAGTCTGGGTTTTTATACAATCCAAAACAGTCTAAAATGACACTGCAACCGTGATTCTCTCATAATTTTCAAGTTTTACTTTTATTTATCATTTGATATATTTGTACCTTCAATAAAATTAATGTAAAAATAAAATAATGATGGCTTTGATATTTTGGGATCACCCCTGTTTCACATTATGATTGCCCCTTCAGTTATACTGTTGAAAAATTTGAATCTCAGACATTAATGGGTCAAGTGGTTATAGTTGGAAGTAGTGCAAACCTGGATTTATTTTAGGCAATTTTGGACATATCTTGTTTTAAATGTTAGGGAGCATATTTTGGAATTTTCAAAGAAAACATTTATCTAAGTGTTACAAGATTCAGGAAATGTTTGGTTGTTGTAATTGAACCTAGTCCAACTAATTGTACTGCGCGACGAGATATTGTGCTATTTTCGTGTCTGGGCAATATCTCGCCTCTACGTTAAAGCGAGATTCTGCCCCAGAACGAAAATATCTCGGAATCAAGCTTTGGCACGTCAATATATTTTGACTATAATTGAACCTAAAGATCAATGACCTGGGACAGGAAGATAAACAAAAGAAACATGATAGTAAAAAGGTTCAGGTAAATAATTTTAGATACATTTATGCATAAAATCTGTTGTTGTTTTTTTTTTCAAATAAGTATTAAATACAAACTATTTTAGATCTATATTTTTAACCTAAATGTAAGCTAGTTTAAATACAATTGTTTAGAGGATATTTTATGAGTATTAATGTTATTTTTGTCTATGATTGTATTGAACAAGATGAGTGCATGAAACTATGATGACATTATTTATAAACTTTCATCTTTCATCTATTATTTGAATCTACAAATTTTTAATTACAGAGTCAGCTTGTAAGCAAGTTTGCAAGACTGTTCCAAACTACAAGAAGATGGCAATCCAGCTTTGCTGTGTTTTATCATAGTATATCATTGGCATCCAGGCATCGATTAAGGAAGCCAACTGTAGACCAGGAAAGGCTTCAAGGAATATACTACAGTATGTTTTTGTTTTAAAACTAGGTTTTGAAAGTTTCAATTTGAAATTTGAATGAATGAAGGTTTCTGGAACTGATTTTTTTATTGATACTTTGTTGGAAATGCTGTTAATGTTACATGATGACTCTCCAGCTTTATTGATGCAGATGTCACTTTGAGCAGACAGATACAATTAGTGTAGGAAATCAGAATCACCTTATGAAAAGCGTTATTTTTTGCAATATTTTTAGAGTGCTTTAGGTTGTAACATCAAGTATGACATTATCTAAAATAATAGTAACAGACATCGTTTCTTTTCTTAAGATCGCAGAATTGTCACACTGCTTACCAAAGTTTTCTTGAAATCCTGACACTAAGTACTGATGAAGAAAAATAAGAAATCAACATGAAAAAAATTAAATTCACTATTTCAAAACAGTAGACAAACATTTAAAAGTAACTACAGAAAAGGTCATTTGAAAATATTAAAGCCTTCATTTTAATCAATGGTCTTGAACAACTTGTAATTCAAGTAGTTTTGGATTTCACAAAAGTGCTGATTTTTTAAAACAATATATATCGACAGTGAACTGATATTTTTGTCTATGGAAACGTTTAAGGAATGTATCATTTTTTTTATTGATTAATAAAAAAGAAATTAAATGATGTAATTCTGATTGCCTACACATACTGAACTGTCCTCAGTATAACCACAGGTGTTCCTTAATCCTGGGCTGGATAGCTCCCTCAGAGGGAAGAAGCCCATCCTGGCTTCAGGAGTCAAAAATACAATGTTGTAAGGCAGCCAGTTTGAAGTCTTTGATCCTGACCACATGGAGAGGGAAGCGCCCAATGGAGAGGGGAAGCGCCCAGTGGTGATTTTATATAATTGTTTTTCTAACTTCTTTCAATGGCTGTACTTTATTAAATATTTACTTTATTTATTTCAGGAATTGTATCCTGGAGCATTTTCCACATGTGACCCCTGTGATGGTGAGGGAAAAACTAAGGGACATTTAAAAATCATGAAGAGTGAACAGGAATTCAAAAGATAGATATTTGAATACATTAAAATTTAACCGGATACCAAAAAATTATAACTGAAGATTGAGTGTAATATTTACCATTAAAGACTTCTAACTTAACTTTTCATTTGTAGTGCATTACTATTTACTTCACACTGACATTAAATGTTTAAGTGAGTCATGTGATCATTTTTTGCTCTGTATTATTACAAAGAAGTTTCTTAATTCCTTAAAAGGACAATATAATTGCTCTTTTCAGAATATTTCATTGGATGTTATATTTTCTGATTTTCCATGGATATTCTAGAAATTTCCAAGGTTTTTGCTCAAATAAACCTTGGAAAATTCTCTGATGCCCTTAAGTAAGAATCCTCGAAAATGTAACAGTATTCCCAGTTGTGAGAAACTTTCCGAGGTTTTCATTTAAAAACCTTGGAAAACAAACCACGGAAACACTTTAAAAATCCTTGGAAATCGTTCCAATACTCCGAGGTCACTCATTTTCCAAGGTTTTCTAAACAAAATCCTCGGAAATTATTTTACGAGGTTTTTATTCTGAAATCCTTGGAAATCGTTCCAATACTCCGAGGTCTTACTTTTTACAAGGTTTTTTTTTTAAAAAACTCGGAAATTTTTTACAAGGTTTTTCACCCTCTCCCTATTTTTCCAAGTTTTTTTTAATAGCAAAGTTTTGCATTTTCTTGTTCCAATACTCCGAGGTTTTTTTCCAAGGATTTTGAGCCAAAAACCTTGGAAAATCTACACCCGGGTTGGTTGTCGCCCTTCCTAAGAAATGGACAGTTGTCAATGTTATGATAATGTAAACAAATAAATGTCATTCAGTTTAACCCTCAAATTAACTTAGAAAACACAAAATGAATATGAGAAAATGTTGTTTTATTAATGTTTATATTGATAAATGCTTTTTATATTTCTTTGAGAGAATAATGTTAAGTGCCTGATATTCTTTTATAAACTTGTGAGCTTGAAAAAAAAAATTCTGATGTCACTGATCTTTTTTCTACCGTCAAACTGAAATCATTCTAAGAATTTCTGAGGGTCTTGGCAGAGTAATTTTATGTTGTTTTTTTCTTGAGTTAATAAATCTCAAATGATAAGCTTTTTTAAATCAATTAAAATTCGAATTTTGAACGGTTCTGAGCATTTCCCATGTAGTTGGCCCCGGAAAAATAAAACACATACGTAAAGCATGTAGAATTGGATAAATACATTCCAAGCTAAAGGATTTAATGTATGTGTTTTGTTTTAAATATACATCATGAATCTTTTTTAAAATTTTATGATATAATAGCGTCAACGCACGTTTATTTCAATTTTAGTATTTACATTTTAATGTTATTACAAATTTCATCTGCTATGATTGGGTTAGTATTTTGTCATTTGAATGTAGAATGTCTCTTTTTATAACATAAACTGCTCATTTCATTTTGTTCTGATGATAGCTATATTTCAGACATCTACAAAAACAGAGATTAAAACATATAAACAGTAATGAGAGATGGTTTCAGGAATGAGGTTGCCAGGCAGCAAAGAATTGAGGAAGAAATGCATGAAAAACGTGAACAACAGAAAATGGACATTTCAAAATTAAACACTATGATTAATCAGGCATAGGAACAGATGATAAAATTAAGAAATAGATATGAAAAAGCCATAACACATAGGAATGAGAGGTTTGTATGATTGTTTCTTGATGACTGTGATAACATTTGTAGCCTAGCTCAATGGAGAGAAAGTGTTTTAGAATAAAGTATCTACAGATTCAAATTTAGTTTGTTCATGTACAGTCAATTTTATTTGTAAAGTATTATGTATATGAACATTTATAAACAATGTTTAAATATAAGAAGCACATAATTCTCTTCATTAAACTTCTTGAGGTAAATAATGGCCACTAAAATAAAGTTTCTATAGCAACCAAACAGAGGTGATAAATGTTGCTTATTGCACAAATAACCTTTGATAAATGTATTGCTCATGTTGCAATAGGTAAATTTATTATTGAACATGTGATATATCAAATACTGATTTAGATAATAAAATGCATAACTGCATAGTGTATATTTCATAACTTTTTCATTTCTTTAATTAACTATTACTGTATTTATTTTATCACAGAGGTATTGAAAGAAAGAAAATTGATTGAAAGAAATGAGGTGTGCATTTTCTAGGAAAAAGTTAACATTCAAGGTAAAGCTTTTTGTATATTCATCTTAAAATACAAATGTACATACTTTGATTTTTGTTTAATCATTAAATGAATAGATCAATTTACATTTTGAATTACATACTACATGTTAAAATTATAAAATGACATCAGACAATTATGAATCTCATTCTGAAATGTCTTTTTCTGCAATAAAACTTATAAAATCAAATTGTGTATTTTGAATACTTGGTAAAGTAACAAAAAATTAGTGCAGAAAAATGTCAAAATGCAGCAATTAACTTTCCTTTTCTTATTAAATAATGGCACATATATTTTGGGAATTGAGGCTCTTTCTCATAGATTTATCAGTTTAATATCATCTTTTGTAGATGAAATGATCCGGAATGGTAACGTAGAGTTGCAAACTAGGGAAGAAGAGATCCGGTTTATACAGATGAACAAAGAGAAATGCTCTCCATGCTCAAACACCTAACAGAGTTAATCTTGAAGGGGAACTAGTCACTTTACAAATACAGGTAACTTATTTATTTCATTTACAATGTATCTATGTCTGTTTCTGTTTCATGTGTTAATTTTGTACGCTAGTTAGCAACATGAAGTTTTAACGATGAACAATGGTGGCCTTGTTAATTTCACCAAAAGTCAATATAAAGATCATTAGACCATAGTTTCACATGTTCATCAAATCCAATGAGGTTTTTAGGAAAATGGGGAGATGCTGGGCGCTGGTAGGGAGGGGAAAAATATATATGAAAGTCAATTTGGGGAAAATTATGACGTTATTTATACTATATACTAAACTCCATTGTAGAGAGTCACAACTATATCTTTTTTCCCCATAAAAACTTTAACATCATGCAAAATATTCTTTGCAGTATAACATCTTAATATGTATGGTAGTGAATGATTTTTTAGCTCACCTGTCACAAAGTGACATGGTTGAGATTTTGTGATGGCTTTTCGTCCGGCGTCCGGCCGTAAACTTTTACTTTCAACGACATCTCCTCATAAACCACTTAGCCAATTTCATCCAAACTTCACAGGAATATTTCTTTGGTAGTCAACTTTTAAAATTGTTCAAAGAATTTAATTCCAAGCAGAACTCTGGTTGCCATGGCAACCAATAGAAAAAACTTAAAATATCTTCTTTTAGAAAACCGCAAGAGCTAGAGCTAAAATATTTGGCATGAAACATCAACTAGGCAGTGTCTATCAAGTTTGTTCAAATATAAGCCCTGGGGTCAAAATTGGCCCCGCCCCGGGGGTCATTGATTTTCCTTATTTGTATATAGTAAAAACTTAAAAATCTTTTTTTAAAAACCCAAAATAGCTAGAGCTTAAATATTAAGCATGAAACATCTTCTAGTGGGTGTCTACCAAGTTTGTTCAAATAAAAGCCCTGGGGTCAAAATTGACCCGACCCCGAGGGTCATTGATTTTCCTTATTTGCACATAGTAAAAACTTAAAATATTTTCTTTTAGAAAACCGCAAGAGCTAGAGCTTAAATATTTTGCATGAAACATCAACTAGGCAGTGTCTACCAAGTTTGTTCAAATAAAAGCACTTGGGTTAAAATTGGCCAGGCCTGGGGGGTCATTGATTTTCCTTATTTGTATATAGTAAAAACTTAAAAAATCTTGTTTTAAAAACCCAAAATAGCTAGAGCTTAGATATTAAGCATGAAACATCTTCTAGTGAATGTCTACCAAGTTTGTTCAAATAAAAGCCCTGGGGTCAAATTTGCCCCGCCCCAGGTGGTCATTGATTTTCATTAATTTGTATAGAGTATAATTTTAAAAAATCTTCTTTTAAAAAAACAAAAGAGCTAGAGTTTAGATACTACATGTACTAAGCATGAAATATTTTCTAGTTAGTGTCTACCAAGTTTGTTTAAATAAAAGCCCTGGGGTCAAAATTGGCCCCTCAGGGGGGGGGGGTCATTGTCTTTTCCTATATGTATATAGTAAAAACTAAAACAATCTTCTTTTAAAACTCCAAAGAGTTAGAGCTTAGATATTTATCATGAAACATCTTCTTATGGCTGTCTACCAAGTTTGTTCAAATAAAAGTCCCTGGTTTAAAATTGGCATTGGCCCAGGGGCCTATATACAGGTGAGCGATTTCAGGGCCATCATGGCGCTCTTGTATACTTCTATTGTTGTATGAAATTTAATACAGTATACTATACAGGTATAATAGTGTGACACACTTTAGCTCCATACGAGACATTTTCATAATAAGAAATACAAAATATATTACTTAACTAAAAATAACCAAGAAAATGACAACATTTTGATAGCAACTGATTTCAAGAAATATTACCATTCAGTACGGGATATAGCCAAGAAAAAAAGATAGCAGCATCCATGTTGAGACAGTAGTTGCAGTTTCCTGCAATGTTTCTGGTTATTGTGCCCCCACTTTAGGGGGAGGGGCATTTAGATTTACCCTTGTCTGTCCATCCATCCGTTCTCTTTTTGTGTCGCACGTAGCTTAAAAAGTAACTGACCTACAGTCAGGAAACCTTACAGGAATGTTGATCAGCATGTGTAGAGAAAAGGTTTATATTTGTTCCATTTCAGCAACAAGATGTACAGATCTGTACAAACGTGAGTCCAGCATGTTGCTGGTGTCATGATGCCAGCAACACAGGGTTAGACAAGTGTGTTTGTGGGACGGCATATGGCATTGTATTTAAGGACAATAGCACATTGAAATATCAAGCAGATAGATGGTGATTTTATGAAATGTCCGTGTAAGTGCTTAGAAAAGTTTATGTGACATTTACTTTTGTTTATTTTCGGGCATTTTGATAAGCAATACACTTTTCTGATTACATAAAAGTATATAACTGGTCAAGTTCAATTATGTGGATTAGCCTGTCCATGAAAACCCACAAAATGATTGCCTCATTGATAATGTCTTTGCAATACTTGAGTTTACAATTATGGTCTACAACTGTGAGCTATTGTACACACCCAGGCATTGGTGTCACACTTTGGTAAGTTTTTGCATGCATGTTGGTATCTCCAAAACTACTAAAGGGAATAATTGAAACTTCACACAGTAACTTAAGAGCATAATTATCCAAGGCCCATAACTCTAACTTAGATATTTTGCCAGAATTATGGCCATTTTTTGGCCCATAACTCTAACTTAGATATTTTGCCAGAATTATGGCCATTTTTTTAACCAATACTCTCAGAATTACTCTTAATTGTTTATTTCTTGAAGGAAGTTTTTGTAACATCAAATATATAATGTTTGTCAGCAACACCTCTCTGCTGACAGCACTTGTTCAAGTTAAAATTAATTAGGCTGTGATATGATTTCAACATACAGTAAACTCCGCTTATAACGAACTCAATGGGACATTCAAAATCTGTTCCTTATATCCGGAGTTCCTTGTAAGCATATAGCGAATTAGTTCCTTGTATCAGAAGTTTTTATAGCAAACAGTTTTACATATAATGAACTAATTGTTTACCATCGTCCTCCATTAAGAAGAGCATTTGATTAAGAGAAATAACTATTGAGTTCGTCATTGTTGTCTCCCTTATATTGATTAAGGAATAATTGCAATGTTGTTTCTTTTTAATATAATTTTTATGTATAAATATATCTATAAGATAATTATATGATATGTCCCATATATGCAATATTGTTATTTATTAATGATACAGTATCATGCACAAAAATAATCACTTTGCTTTGAAGAAGTCGCTAATTTTAGTTTGGGATTGTTTACAACTCTTCAGGTTAAATTCAATATCCAATAAACTTTTAAAAACTCTTTTTTCAACATGTGCATTAGACTCGAAGTATGACCTAATGTAGTGCAAACAATCAATAGCTTCATTTTTTGACACAACCGGCGGATAAATTAAATGTAAATAGATCTCGTCTTCGGTAAATTGACTGTCATCGTCATTATTTGTTCCTAATATATCCGCTACATTTGGCCAAGTTGTAATCTGTGCCGATGAAAACGAAAGTAGAAAATGCGTGATCTGTTTACGGATAGTCAATATTTGGAGTTCGTTATAAAAGTGTAATTTTCTGTACTTTTTATGGCATTGGGACTAAAAAATGAGTTCCTTATAAGCGATAATTCCTTATAACCGTGTTCGCTGTAACCGTAATTTTTTACATTAAATAAAGAAGGGCAAAATTCGGGCCAAACAAATTTGTTCCTTATAGCCGGAAGTTCGCTATAACCGTGTGCGCTATATGTGAAGTTTACTGTATTATGTACTTCATTGCAAAAGAATGTGGCAAAGATATATAAGTTTCTATAATTATAAGTTAGCGAGGGAAACCTGTAATAGCAGGTCTAAAGAAAAGGTTTGTGTTTTTGGTTTACCAGAGCACAAAGTATTGAAGGTACTGCAAAATCATTTAAATTTCAGGGCATAAATTTGGTGGTTTGTGAACGGTAAGATTGTTAATTCGTGGAATTCAGTTGCCAGGTAAAATAAAAAAAATATGAGTCCTTAAATTCCACTTTCAGTAAATTATACCCGGAATTTGTGCCACTTAAATGTGCAAGAAAACATGATCTTGACCTATTCAACAGAAGCTCTGTCTTCTAAATAAGCATGTGTCGTGTATCAATTATATTTTATAATTTGTTGTTTCATTATTTAAAAAAGGTGTGTAAATTCTCTCATCATTAATTTACCGATGTAAACATGTTTGTTTTCTTGGGATCATGTGACCTTGAATTATTTTAGCTACAAGAAATTTGAACGATGGAATGATCTGCGTGCACATTTTTGAAATGTGTTTCTTTGTCTGTTACAGCACTGTGCTTAAAATTTCGGCATCATGACGATAGAAACAATCACTGATATTTTTTTGTTTCATACAAATAATTTGCTTTTTAAGTGACTTGATGTGTTGATATTGATATTGTGAATGATAAAGCAACATAGAAAGATTAATGTTCCGTACATGGCTATTGTTGTTGTCACCCCTGTACAGAAATAGACCCAACTTGGTGTGGGATAGAAAATAGTTTTGTAGAAACCCAATTCAAGTCATCTCAATGGTTTGTTTTGTATTATTCAAAGTGTATTTATTACATCTGTGTAGTTTTGTGTTATATGATAAAATCAAAAGTTGCTTTTTGTGTATTCTTCAGGACCTCTTTTCTTGATGGAAGGATTTAAGATGTACTGCCTGCCAGCATCCGGGAATCTTTAAATGGAAATTAGGTAAGAATGCAACAGACAAAACTCTATTAGTCAATTAACTTTACCACAAATTTTGTTCCAGGCGATTGACTGCGGACATATCAACAATGTTTGACAGTAGTTAGGGGACAGTGCAAAGGATTTTAAAATGAGAAATGCTAATACATTAACTATTATATTCTTGGTTTACAACTGTATAATTATTTTACTACTCTACTTATTTAACAATTTCATCAATGGTGAAATTTTGTCAACAGTTTTACAGTCACATAAAAATCAGTTATGCGTTATATTTATTTCACAATAATAACAATTTTGTTTTGAGTTGTATTATTCTTTTTATTTCTCTTATACATTATCATTCAGCAAAAGTATATTAATACTTTTATACTTTTATTCTGAATAAATAAAATTGAATGAATGAATGAAATACTTAATTGATAAATTAATATACACTGTGATATTTGGTTCCGGAAAAAGATCTACTGTACATTATAGATTTAAGGACTTTCACAAAGATTGTATTATGAAAATATATTCTGTATTTATTTCTGTGTTAAGTTTTTTTGTATTTTATAGGAAACAGAGTGTTGATGTCTGGACTATTGTACTGTTGTGAAGTTTAAGATGTAATTATTTTATAAAAAAGACTTACCTATACAGATCAATTGGTAAATATATATGTTAATTACTCTTAGAATGAAACTGATGCATTATTTTCCCTCAATTTAAGTCAGGGGAATTTTTTCCCCAAAATAGCTAGAGAAAGGCTCTGAGTGTATGTATTTATTTTATATGTTTTACATCGACAACAGTTTTCAAAAATATTAAAGGTATTCACTTGAAACTCAATAGATATATATTTAAGATCTCTTAGTCATTAGAGATTACTGTTCAAGCACGGATTATGACTGATTTATGGCAATTTATCAACTGAGAAAATTCCTGGTAAAAGTGTTGCATGATTTTAACTTCTTTCAAACAGCAAAACCCACAGATGGTTTAGTAAACAAGTTTCACTACCATTAAAATATATAGTACCAATTTCTTTATTTTTCCAGGTTCATATAAGTCAATTTACAAAATGAACATGATAGTTCTATCAGGTAAATCAAATGCTCGCGATTATTGAAATAATTTATTATTTCCAGTACAATTTATTTGTGAATGTCAGTAATGTATGTGATTGTGTTGAAATAAGATGGTACAAATAATTTGTTTTTATCTAGCATTTAATCAGCATATAAATATATAAAAAATGACTAATGTATTAACTAACCGTACGTCTGCTTGTACCATGTATTAACCAAGATGGTCTGCACTGTAATATTATAGTCTGTACAATAATGAATGGTAATAAATATATTAAGAAATGGACAAGTTCAGTACAGATATCTAGTATGTTGAGGATTAATACTGAAAACGTTTCTTAAGCAAAAATATAACACTGCATTTCTTTTGCATTACCCATGTTTTTATCTGTAGAAATTTAAAGTTAATACATGTAGAATAAAATTACTAGAACTTAGAAAAACATGAAATCATATAAGTTTGTCAAATTAAATTATTTCAGGGTGCTCTCATTGTTTACATAATTTTCCTGCAATTTATTGTCACAGGAACATTTTATATGCATATAACATGCAAAATTAAAATGTAAAATCTGCCAATAAAAAATAATTGACAAATATTAATTTTTCATTTAAAGGGAGACACAGGCAAAATTTTCATTTCTTAGTTTTTAATTTTTCATTCATTATTCTGTAAATGTCCTCAAAATAAATGCACTAAACAGTCAAAGGAACAAAACTTTTCTCCATATAAAGAATTAAATGGTGTTTTCCTAACTTGACCCGCGTGGGTCAGGTTAGAGCGCTAAGATTTCACAATAGTTGTCACTGTGTACTCTGGAAACATTAAAGAACATGTCAAATCAATTACTTAGACTTATTTCAATCATACAATATCCACAACACCTGTTATTGTAACTTCAAGGGTTTGTTCAAATCACATGACTTGTTTTTTAACTATTCGGTGATTCTGTTGGCGTCTAAATTTCGTTCAACATATATAATTATTTTTAAGCTTCAAACCCAAAATATATAGAATTTATACAGAAATTCATGCTGGGACTTTAAGAAATGTCATTTTAGGGTGATTTGAGTACAGAAGATAATTTTTATATTTTTGTCATTATTTTGCCTGAGTATCCCTTTAAAATTAATGAGGCAAAGTATATTACAATATTTTATTTGAGATGTGTACAAAAAGTGATAGATATTTTGTTTTTTGTGATATATGTATTATTAAAACATGCTTCACACTATTAGTAATTAATAATATACATAATTTTAATATATTTAACAAACAGAGAGGGCTTATCAAGTGCATTATTACATGATATATGCACAGCATAAAAAAATGCTTACACATCATATGACGTCAGTTATGAAATCAGAACAAATGACGTCAGGGAAATTACTTTTATGCTCAATGTAGTTCAACATATTTTTATGAATTCTCTTTAAAAAAAGCATATATGAATGGAAATAGATATTAATTTTTCTTGCATTGTAGTATAAAAATGCATGGTTTATTGTTCAAATGCTTTCCAATTAATCACTCAGGCATATCGGTCTTTGTGATTATACTCCTGCACATTTTAACTGAAAGCCTGCATTATTTTACAACAATACACTCGAAATGATATCTATCTCCTAAATGGATAATAATAAATGATATTAATATATATTTCTTTTATTATCAGAGAGACACAAACTTCTGGGAGGACAGTGAATTGACATTTGTTTTCTCAACATGAAAATGGAATGAGACATTCTAGTGGACTAATTGATGACACTGTAGGGATTGAAAAATCTACAACAATGAGATATGTCTTAAAGATCTTTATTATACCTCTGTACAACTAAGTTATGCAGCTGGTATACTGGTTTGAGGCTGTGAGTCATTGTGGTTGCCTGGCCATTTATATGTACTTCTGTTTAAATGCTTAACCAATAATAATATAACTGGACAAGAATAATTGTCACAAATCTGTTTGCCCAATATTTACGTGCAGTTCAGCAGGCAAAGTAGTACTCTAATTAGTAGTCCTGATTACATTTTCTCATTAATAACTTTGGACATTTTCTTTCATAAAAATATAAAGCTGTAAGAAATACAAATATCTATGCCATTTGTTAAATTTTCAAAGTCAAATCAAATGTTTTATTAGCAAAAACATATACCCGGTACATGTTCATTGCCAAGTTACATATATATATATAAAACGTTTTTTTATTTATTTTGTATGTGTAGTCAAAGTATTGAAAAACAACTATGAGAACCTCCCAAGTGACCTTTTGTCAATATAACTATACATCATCAACTCTTATTAATGTTAGACTTCACAATGAGTTCTGCATGTCTAGAGTGACCTCTTCGTCTTATATTTTTATACGCATAAAGCAAATGAAAATAGTGCATGATGTCTTTTATTTAAAAAAAGAAATTTTTTTTATTCAATCCAATTTTTGAAAAAAAAAGAATAATAATATCTGTCATATTTTGCGGTTCGGATCGGAATATCCGTCCCGAGGTGACCTATTGATGCCAAACTTGGTGTGTTGGTAGCTTTTATTAAGCTTGGGATTGCTACTAAGGTGTCTGTGATCAAGGTTAAGGTCACTGTAGTAATTCAGTTCCTGCTCAATAATTGGAGTTTGCTTAGGCCTATTGAATCCAAACATGGTGTATGGATAGCTTAGATCTAGGTGCAAGGTCAAGGTAACTTGCTTACAATAGAATTTTCAGCTTCTTCTCAATAACTTCAGTACACAGTCACATTGATCTATTGATACTTGGCATGTGCACTTGTTGTTGGTAATTGTGTAACAAAACAAAGATACATTTTTTTTAAACACTAAACAAAGATTTGAATGTTGGTACATAAAATTATCATATATCAAATTATTTTCATGACCAACTTATCAGTCTCTGTGTTTTCTTCTTGTGAATCACAAATAAACAGCAAAAAATAACAGTGTAGGTTCTTTTGTTACTTTAAAGTAAGCAAGCAGTTCTAGGTACAATTAAAATGCAAAAATTATTATGTTTGAAATATTTTTTTTAACTGATATGTTTTTAATATTTTATTCCTTAGCTTGACTTTTGAGAATAAAAGACTTATTACTACAGTTATGTTGTTGTTGCCGCTGTTGACACTCAAGATCAAATAAGTGAATTTATGTTTTCTTTCAGTTCCTTAAGACAAACAAATTATTTATAATTAAACAATATTATAACCTTGTTTTGAAAAAAACAACAAACACTTCCACCGACCATGCTCCTTAATAAGCCTATCTGTCACACCTTTAAGAGCTGTAGCTTCCCCAGACCTTAATGAATGGAGACCAAATTTCGACCTGTCTAACCCTAAAATAGAAATATGATACAAAAATATTTCTCTCGCTTTTGTATAGGATTTCCTTCCCTTAGCTTATTTGTTTTAGATTTACTACAAAATGAAACTTTCCGAAACAATATACTACAATATAATTCCTTGTCTGACGTGTTTGACTTTAGGAAAAAGAAAAAGTCAAGTGTGGCCCTTGCTAAGCGATTGCAGCTCTTGCTATATTATCATAATATTGATTGTCAGATTCATTCTAGAAAAAACAAATGAAATTCAATAAGAATTGTGTCAATTTTTAGAAACATGAATTTAACAGCTTGTGTTCTCATATCTGAAAAATTATGAGGTTGTTTTATGTTATCTAGTACAATACTGAAATGTCTTGCATAAATATAAAGCTGTAAAACAGATGAGTGCAATAAAGGTTTTGAAGTCCTATTAATAATAGAATCAGTATATACTTAATTCAGTGACAAGTTATATGGTTCTATATAAAAGCTTGTAAATATAACCCAAGCTGCTAGGCGAGTGATATATTGCCAACAACCGATTATATACGGCCATATAACCTGTCAAAAAAATATTAATAACAAATTTATAATACAGCAATTTTTGAGAGGATTTAAGCGCGATATCTTCATGAATTGACAGCAGCTGTGTATGTAAAACTATATAAAGACGTCTCGATTATCCAATGAAAAGCGACGTTACAAACAGGCAGTATTTAATATGATATGTAATGGCATCCTTATTTTAAACCACCAATGTTTTAACATTTGTAGTTCAAGTACAATATGTTTCTGATATTGACTTTTTGGAATAAATCTAGGTTAAATAGACTACAGTGTAAATTTGATATGGAATTTTTTGGACTTTGGAAACAAGGCAAAAATCCAATGATAATACTTATGTATGATGAAATTATATTAACATTTTTGATCTCTACATAGATATTATCATAACTATGAATGTAAGATTTTTAAGAAAAAAGTAAAGAATTCATTGTTCTTTTCAGAAACATTCCAAATACTACCGGCATTTTAATTTGTATCATCCTGGTTACCAATAGATTAGCTTTTGTAGTTTAATTGGAAAAACATCTCTTAGTCTGTTCTTACATGAGAGACTTCAAGAGGAGTTCTGAGTTCGAATCTCAGCTGAAGCATATGTGTAGATTGGTTAACCTCGATGTCAGAATTTACTAATAATGTAATTTGTGTAACCAAAGCATGTTCAACAGAGTTTTTGTCTTTTCTT